TATATATATATAACCAAATACCTGAATATGAAGAATTGAACTATAAATTATGATGCCATTCATAAAGTTTTGACAATTAATATCACTAATATCTCAAAAACTCTTTTTTTCCCTGTATTCTTCTTACGTTCTCATTTTTTGTCATCTTCTTATTAAAGGGAAAAGTAAAATTCTATTTAGAATAAAATTAGCGAGAATTTGATAACAAGGACTCCACTATTTCCGTCTGCATGATACTATTCTAAGGCCCTATCAGGCGGCTCAAGGACATCTTGCGTTGCTACAATAAGACATAACATACCTGCATGTCCCCTACCACTGACCAATCAAAGGCAGTTCTTTTATTGATGAATGGCCTGTACAATTCACAAACATCAAGGGATTGATTAAAACGGAATATGGTACCAATTTTTTCATACTTCCTTGAATACTGTTTCCTCATGCACCGATGAATCTGCCTATAAAATGACCTGCACCTTTTCATATTGGGGTTTGTTTGTTAGACGTTTAACAAAAAGAAAAACAAAAACAAAAATAACTTCTAAACAGTTTTACACAATGTCATGCCTGTTCTACTGTTTAGTAATTGCATGCTCAAGTAAAGTGTTTGTCAGATCCGACACCACGGAATCCCACAAACCTTTTAACTATCAAAAGGAATCTCACGAGCAAAAAAAATTTTTAAAGAACAAGAAGAAACAAACGCTGTTTCTGTTGTTATAACCGATCGTGAACTTTGTTTTCGAGAAAATACTCATCCTTACTTTTTTTTTGTTAGGACACATGTAAACGTACCACCACTGCTTGCGCAAAGTTGACTGACATGACAGCTTGCAAACCAAGGCGTATTTAAGGGCAATATTGAGGTCAGATAAAGAGGCAATCCCTTATTTCTGGCGCTTTAACGTAATGTATGCACAATGTGCCACAACCTTCATCATTATGTATTAAGGTCGCTTCCAAGAAATCTAACATATCCACCTTTTTTTCATTATTGTTTACTACGCTGGGCTTAAGAGAAGGCTAACTTTGTGGTCAACTGCACAATGGTGACATAGTTAAAAATCTAAACATGACAGGCGCCTTAGAAATATTATATCTATCTATCTATCTATCTATCTATCTATCTATCTATCTATCTATCTATCTATCTTTCTTTCTTTTTTTCTATTCATTTATCACGAAGTTTAATTCTCGCCTTTATACTTGTAATTCATAAGAACGTGCACGAAATTGATGCATTGTTTAAAAAAAAGTAGGTCCATTAACTAATGACTCAAGTTTTTCTTCTGAGGGCCAGCAACCACGCCCTCTCTAGCCTATTACATGCTTATCTTCTCTTCCTCTGTCTATTTTTAGACCATAAATTCAGTCTTTTAAGCGGCGCCATCGAGTGTTCATTTCAGGAAGATTGAGATTTTAAACAAATTTACCAAGTGGGCCTGTCTGTCGGCCTTGGCAAGGAAACACAAAAGGGGAGGTAAGAGGATTAAACCGGAATTCCAATCGATGTAATCATGTCTGATGAATCTGTTCGCTCGTTCTGCAGGATATATCGGAACTTCAAAACTTCTTCGTGTCTCCTCCAGCATGAAGCGGCCCAGCACTCTAATGCTCCGGCTGCTGCCAAAAATATAGCTCAGGCTTTTTTTCTGTTGTTGTTGTTGTTGTTGTTGTTGTTGTTGTTGTTGTTGCTGTTGTTGTTGTTGTTGCAACTTTCTCAGTTTGTTTCGCCTTTTTCCCCTTGAAGTTGTGGGTCTTGGTGTCATTCATTCTCTGCCCGATTCTGCCTTTTTTCTTTTATTCTTTACGATACATCAAGATTAAGAACGCGTCCATGTCTCTGGCTTCCTGAAACGTCATTTCTCTATTTCCTCTTTTCTTACTTTTTTTGCTTAGAGACATTTTGTTGTTTTAGGCGTTTTTTGCTGTAGGTGGTGGAGGGTTTTATCTGTTTACGGGTATGTGTTCATGTTTTAAGATAGATTAATTAGATAGACAGATAGATAGAGAGATAGATAGAGTAACAGAGGGATAGAGTGAGAGAGAGGGGAGGGGGGAGACAGAGGGATAGACAGAGAGAGAGAAAAAAGAGAAGAAGAGAGGGCTTAGAATATATTTGTTTGCAAAGTCCACCACAGCCTATTCATTTACCATACCGTACATCTTCCTACATTAATGCACAGGCTGATTAAAGTCAGCTGTTTTTAGTTTGTTTGGGGAGGGAGGGTTGTTGTTGTTGGTGGTGTTTTTTAAAGTTGTTTTAATTTCTTTTAATTTTTATTCAGACAGACATCGTTTTGTAAATTTTCTTAGGAAAATAACATTTTCACAATTCCTAGAAGTCTTCCGGAACAAGTACTTGTGAAGAAAGAAAAACCACGCGCTCCTTCTGTATTGTGCAATTGTTCTTGATGAGTGTCGAAGGGAACATAATGTAATGGGAATGTGCATGGCGTGTGTATGTGTAGCTGTGTGTGTCTGTATTTGTATGACTATGTGTTTGTCTGTTACTTGCTGATTGGCCTTAGATCATTAGCGACCCCTTCAGTTGATTTTGCCCGATTGTTCTCTATAATATAGCATAACAAGTAAAATAAAAACAATGGGCACTATCTGAATAAGGACGTCATCCGGGACGGAAAGAGCTTTTGTAACATGCAAACATCGTTTTGCTTTCTTTTTAAAAATGTGATTTCGTTACGCTGAATCAAGTGAAGTGTCCGTCTACAGTGGTAAAGAGTTGGACTTGTATTTAAAGGGTCGTTGACTCGGTCCACAACTTTACTTATCACGTCGTTATCTCAAATTGATACTAATCTATTGAAATATGTGAAGTGTGCGAATGATAACGATATGCATCTAACTAATTAAAAGTTGCATGTCCCATGGGGATACTGTTATGTACATTACTGTAAATGAAGTAACAGACCAACAGAGCTGATTATTATATTGTAATAATAATGCTTAATGTTGTTTTATTTTTTACACATGGCGTGCCCTCCCCCTCCTACACATTCCCAAGCTCACTCAAAATTCAGTGTTAACGTTACTGTGTATTTGCGAACATTCCGAGCCATTGACCCGTGTGACGTCATCTATCTGTATGACGCTTCTTTCTATTTAGCAATCTGCCTGTTAAGCACTTCATTCTTCAAACGATATCGTCATTCGTGGAGAGAAATTGTCTGCACTTTAAAGTATTTCTTCCCGTAATTTTGGGGATATTGTCAGCTAGCAGGATGAGTGTAGGATTTTCTGTGCGCAGGTTTGTTTTTTCTCCCCCGATCAGAACATGTAATGTGAGCACTGAGAAGCGAAGAACTAATAGAATTTGCGGAAATGAGATAGCGAGGAAACCGGAACTTTTTACGCAAATTTTGTTTCCACTTTATGTTTTCTCTCTCTCTCTCTCTCTGTCTCTCTCTCTCTCTGTCTCTCTCTCTCTCTCTCT